GCACGGGCTTCATCTAGTAAGCATATATAACAAAGAATATGAGAGAATGTAAAATTATACAAATTCTTGGCTGCATTCTAGTGCAGCCAAGCTAGCGGCAACAACAATAAATATGAACATATAGTACGTTAAAATGAACATACGTATTTTTTTTCTTCCCTATATCTTAAATCTCTTTCTTCTTCTTCCTTAGCTCTATTATTTTTCTCTCTCTTCAGTTTTCTTCTCAATTTAAAATTTTCTTTCCTCTTTACCTCACTTCCCTTCAATCTTTAAAGTTTTCTTCTTCTTTATATAAAATTTTGAGTTAGTAATTCGTGTTTTGATGGGTATACTCCTTTCTTTCTAAATCTATGAGTTTCAAATTCAATCATTTGGCTTTATCAAAGAGGAAATAAAAAAATGGAGGAGAGAGAAAGTTGAGGTCAAAGAAAACAATGGAGGTTAGATTTTATCAATTTGTAATTGTATTTTGTATGATTTCGTTGATAATGCATGATGATTTATTGTTTGATTGTTTGAAATTATTATGAGTTTGTGATGAATATCAATTAAATTGCTTAATTGTTAATGAATATCAATTGTATTGCTTAATTTGTAGTTATTTTCTCTCTCCCCTATCTTTCTCTCTATCTTTTGATTTTTTTTTCTTTTGATTTCTAATCATGTTACAAATCAATAATTATTTTCTCTATGATGAATCAAGATTAGATTTAAGGTTTATAATCAATTTTTTAGAGTTTCAATGATTACAATCGATCTTGAATATAATTTCTGTAAAAAAACTGAATACGTAGAAATTTAAAATGAACATCTTTTACAAAATGAGCATTTAGTACACCGAACATAAATATTAAATACATAAAAAATGAACATATTTCGACAATTTATTTTATCTTTATTTTTCATTAATAATTATGTACAATGAATTTGAACCTTTATGAAAATCATGTTCATTTTAATATCCTAAATGTTCATAACTTTTTGTTACATATTCATTTTATAAGTGTTCATTTTTTAATACTAAATGTTCATTTTTATTAGGTTGAAAGTAAAATATAATACGTTGAAAGTTAAACTATCCGAACATTTATGTTGAAAATCTGAACAATTTATTATGAATATAAATGTTTCGTTATTCTTTACGAACATATCTGTTATTGACACATATGACATATAGAGTGAATATTATTTATATTTTTAAGTATTGTATTGATGATTATGTATTATAAACATTCTAAATAATTATTATGAAGATATTTTGTGATGATTATGAAAATTCTGATTATTTGTTATATTTTAGTGAGTACAGATTAATTGTATTTGTAGAAGACAAAGACTCTGAATTAGTGAAGAAACAACTAAGAAGTGATGAAGAAGTATATGATATGTACAATGAATTTGCCTTTAAGTTGGAGAATTTTCAATGTATATGATCCCAATTTTATGGTTGTATGATAAAGGTTCATTTCTAATGTACTAAATGTTCATTTCTTTTTTTTTTTTTTTTTTGACATGTTCACTTTTTATTACTGAATGTTCATTTTTATTACTGAATGTTCATTTTTATTACTGAATATTCTTTTTTTTTTTTTAATGTGTTCATTTTTCTAACTAAATGTTCATTTTTAAGGTAGTGATCTAGCAAATTTATGATTATATGATAATTAGATTCATTTTTAATAAATTATCATTTCCTTGTAACATGTTCACTTTTTAGTATTAAATGTTCATTTTTTTTACGTGTTCATTTTTTGTTTTTATATGTTCATTTTTTTCATGTTCATATTTTTCAACTAAATGTTCATTTTTTTATTTGGGCCGCGCGTTTTGGGCTTCACTTATTGTAGCTATCTTAGCTGCACTAGAGTGCAGCCAAGACCAATTGGTAAAATTACACTCGTCCCCCGGCACATTTCCATTACTTCAATAGGTCTTGGCTGCACTAGAGTGCAGCCAAGATGGCTGCAACAAGGCCCAACAGCCCAAACACGAACGCGGACCAGGCCACTAAAAATGGCCCACCCAACAAAATCCATCAATCTTTCAGAAAAAAAACCCGTCACTTTTAAACCACCATCATCAACATTAATTTCAACTTCTCCTCCCAAAAAATCATTTACTTCCCAACATCAATTTACTTTCTCTCTCCTTTCTCTAGTTTTCTCTCTCTAAAAAATTACAAATTCCATGGAAAGTAAGCTTCAACCCAAATCTCTCTCTCTTCTCTGCAATTTTTTCTCTCTTTTCTCTGTAATTATTCTCTTTCTCTTCTCTTCAATTTTTTCTCTCTCTAAAAAAATTCAAAAATCACCATGGATATTCAACAAGAACTCCATATATAAGCAAAGAATCTTACTTTTTTTTTTAATTGTCACTCTCAAACTTAAATTTCTAATATTTATTACTTCTCTATTTGATTTTCTCTCTCTAACAATCAATCACACGATTCACCCTCTCCAAAAAAAACAACCATGGATATTTGAAATCAGATAAAAAAAAATGAATCCTTCCAAAAAAGGCAAATTTATGTTAATTTCACTTAATTTTGTTTGAATTTTTATGAATATCACTTAAATTCGTTTGAGTATTGTTAATTACTCTTTTGTTCGAAATTTTATTGGAAATATTAAAAAAAAATTAATGAAATCAAACGGATACAGTATGTTCATAAAATATTTTGAAATGTTCATAATATAAATATTTGTTGTTCATATGATAAATATTGTTAATGTTCATAAAATGTTCTCATTTTGTCTGTTTATATGCTTATGTTCAAATTTTAATGCTTATGTTCACTTTCTGAAAATGCATATGTTCAATTTCTTAAATGCTTATATTCATATATTTGAATGCTTAAGTAAACTTTCTGAAATGAATATGTTCACTTTTTGAAATTCATATGTTCATATTTTTGTATGTATATGTTCACCTTTTGAAATTCTTATGTTCATACACATTCAAAAAATGAACCAATGCATATGTTCATATTTTGAATGCGTATATTCATTTTCAAAAATGCATATATTCATATTTTTAATGCATGTATGTTCATATTTCGTAAAACTTATAATGCGTATCTTTCATAATCATTTTCTTCAATTTTCTTATATTCATAATTAAAGGTCGTAAATTCAATTCATATGAATTATATGTTTACAAACCTAATGTTTGTGAAATCAAACGGATGCAGTATGTTCATAAAATGTTTTGAAATGTTCATAATATAAATATTTGTTGTTCATATGATAAATATTCTTAATGTTCATATAATGTCCTCATTTTGTTTATTTATGCTTATGTTCAAATTTTAATGCTTATGTTCACTTTCGGAAAAAGCATATGTTCATATTTTTTTACACATATGTTCAATTTTTTAAATGCTTATATTCATATATTTGAATACTTAAGTAAACTTTCTGAAATGTATATGTTAACTTTCTGAATTCATATGTTCATAATTTTTTATGTATATGTTCACCTTTTGAAATTCTTATATTCATACACATTCAAAAAATGAACCAATGCATATGTTCATATTTTGAATGCGTATGTTCATTTTCTAAAATGCATATATTCATATTTTTAATGCATGTTCATATTTTGTAAAAACTTATGATGTGTACCTTTCATAATCATTTTCTCCAATTTTCTTATGTTCATAATAAAGGTCGTAAATTCAATTCATATGAATTATATGTTCACAAACCTAATCAAATCGATCATAATACATTACAAAATCACCACCTAATATAATCGAAATTCATACATAGATCAAATTGGTAGAAATTTAACAAAATACAATTACAATTGAATATAACCTTTCAAAAAAAACTTAAATGAACACGTCCAAAAATAAAAATGTAAATAACAAAGTTGCTGCTCATTTCCAACTTCTTTCATCATTAATTTGGATACTCCGGCTTGTACTCTCTGAAAAAATAAAAATAACAAAGTGTTCATGACCTGCACAATAGATGTTCATAAAGTGGACTACGAATGTTCACAATGATTATATATAGTGAAATAACACTGGTCATTGTCTGGTGAATTGAATGTACATTGCTCACTTCTGGAGAATGAATGTTCATAGTATAGAAATGGAATGTTCATATTGAATATATATATGTGTTCAAAATGTAAATCATAAACGAATACAATGTTAAATGTATAAAATGTTCATATAATGAACTCAAAAACAAATTCAATTAAAAAAAAAAGATAACAGATTAAGAAATTCAAGATTTCGTAACTTATTGAAGAAATCAATAGCAATTGTAAATTGAAATAGTGCAATTCATCAAAATGTAGATAGTTTTTCAACAAATTCATGAAATTCATAATTATAAAATCACAAAATGAATCTAAAAAATGCAAAACAAGATTTATCAAATTATAAAATCAGAAAAGCAAGATGAATCATCAAATTCATTCAATTCATCAAAATCAATGTCATCAAAATCAATTAATCAATAGTATATTGAAATTCATAAAATTATAAAATCATAAACAATTACAAATTCAACGAAAATATAAACTAATTAATTATAAACAACACAAAAACTAACCTCCATTGATGATTTTCATGAGGAATAGCAACCACCTCCATTATTAAGTAAAGAACAGAGGAGAGAGAAAATCTTGATTAAAAGAGAAGAAGAGGAGAGAGAAAATATCAAATGGAATAAAAGAAAAAGGAGAGAGAAAATTGCAACCCAAAAGGAATCAATCCATATACGAAGTAAATGACATAAGAAAAGGGGGATATTCAGTGAAGTTCTAGTAGGAAGAAGGGAAAGTTGAAGGAGAAAATAGCAAATTGCGTTTTATTAATAAAGACCTGCGTTTTGGCTTGTTGTAGCCATCTTGGCTGCGTTAGAATGCAGCCAAGAATTTGTACCATTACTTTGTACTTACTCTCATTTGGGCCGCGGGACATGTACACACAACACAGTGACACACTACATCAAAGCCCGTAAGGAAATCCGACCAACAACCTCCCCAGTAAAAAGGAAATAATTGAAAATCAAATCGCTAGGGTTTAGTAAAATCATCAATCAATCCATCCAAATTCTAGGGTTTATACTTTCTTCTCTTACATCTCCATCAATCGAGAGCTGACCAAATTGAAAATGGCGGAGATAAAAACGTTACCAGCGGATTCAATTCAGCACTTTCAAGAAGGAGTATCACTGGTTCTCTCAAAATGGTGGACTCTTCAAATGGCTGTACAAAATGAGTGGGGAGGCCCTCATTCTCACCAAAAAGCTCTTGATTTCTACTCTCAAATCTTTAATTTCTTCCATAAACCTAATCGCAGAGGTTTGTTCCTTCAATTTTCCGTTTTAATTTCTAAATTAAGTAAAAATTTGAAAGTGGTAACTTCAATCACTGATTAATATGAATAACATCAATCTATGCTTGTTTTATTGGGAATTTGGTTATGTTTTCTTTTAATTTAGATTATAAGTACTTGATTAATTTAAAATTTGAGTTTTTTTTTTTTTTTTGAGTAATTTAGAGAGGTTTGCACTTGTTTAATTGATTTTATTAATGTTATAAATTGACAATTTTTTTATGATTCTGAATTTCTGATGTTTGGATTATATATTTATTTGTATTGTTTTTGATGTTTTTTCCCCCTGTTTTACTCAGAACCTGTTTACATAGACGAATTAGAAGATTTGCTAGAGGATGGTTTGGATTCTTTTAATACAGATGCAGAAGACGATGTACCAGAGGTGATTGCTTCATTGCAAAATAGAATACATTTCAATTATTTTTTCAAGTTTACAATTAAGTTACATGCATAATTGTCATGCTAAATTGGATGAGTCGAATCGAAATGCTTAAGATTTGTGATCAGAAGTTATGGCTTTATTCTAGTTTAGATTTTTAGTGTCTGCTTTGTAATTTGTAGGTAGCAGATCAGTTGATGGCTATGTATGAAGAATGTTTGGTAGGCAACTATCAAACAATTCAGAAGTTAAAGCAAACAAAACCGGTTACTGTTCCTCGTGTAGAACAGGTAATCGACATTTTCTATCTTGTTTATTCTGTGTTAGTGAAGATCTAGTCATCTAGATGACTGCAACAAATACATTCATGAGAGAATTTTGGAATCTGGGTTATGCATTGTTGTTTGTGGTTTGTATTATGTGCATTTGGGTTGTTACTTGGAAGTTGGCATGATATTTTGAAGATTTTGCATGAATAATGAAGTTTTTGTATACAGTATCAGATCTTGGCTCTAAATATTGGAAGGGCCGAAATTTGAACTAATCTCTCTTCCAAAAATAATCACAATGTTACAACATTTTACAAGTAATATAGGGTTATCTACGCTTAATAATTAATTGATAAAGAATAATTTACTTGAGCTCGGCCCCGGTGGAAGGTCTGCTTTTAATTTGTGCAGAAAAGTTTGAAGTTTAGATCTATTAGGAAACAAGATATGAAGAGTCGAAGACTAATAGTTCTAGGCTGATCCTCAAAATCTGTAGTTCTCTTCCACTACTGCAGGAATATTTTTCAACTTTGACAAGTATTTATATAAGTGTATCGTGGCTACTGGTTAGAAAAGCAACTTGACTATGTTTCCAAACATTCTAAGTATTCATTAAGAAGGTATTCCAATTATTTGGTAAACTGAACTATGTTTTTATAGCATCATCTTGAAAATTGTATTTTCCCTTTGACGTCATCTTGAAAAAGATGCTTGCTTTTCAAGAAGGTGTTTGGCTCACTGATTTTGGGTATAAAACGGAATCAAACAAGTAAAACATCGATTAAATATTTTTGCATTCCATATATAAAGCATAATTTTACCTGGAGCCTGGAGATGATAAATACCGTCTCCACGGGCACTACATCAACCATCCGCCCCCCCCCCCCCTCTCTCTCTCTCTCCCCCATAACCCAAAATCATAGCCACTTCAATACCACATCTGCTTGCCACTGTTATCACCCACACAACTGCTCTACGACCATTTGCTATCTCACAGGGAGGAGATGATTACAAAATGAAGTGTGCTGACTTCTGCCTTTTTCTCCTGGACTGTTTTTCACTATTGTTCTTACACTGTCTCATTGCAGTTCTCTTTTTTTTACATCAATATCTTTGCCCCATTATGTTTCAGCCTGTTTATTTCCAGAAGCTTATAATATTACGTGAAAGAACTTGTATTAGCTACCATTATAATTACCTAGGATTTTAGGAACTGTGATATCAGAAGTGCTTCACTTTTATGTGCACATGTTGAAGTGCTAATTGCCATGTCACAGGATGCAAGTGACAGCGATGAGGAAGCTGATGAGAGCATGGGGAATGAAGAGGAATCAAATATGACGGTAGATACAACGGAGTCCTTGCCAAGTACTAATCCCACAGAAATACAGAAAAACAATGGCATACACCAGCAGATGGAAGAAGCTGAAGATGGATGGGTTAAAGTTTCAAGGAAGAGTAAAGGTCGAAACAAGTAGCTTGGGACCTAATGATCTCATCCTAAGCCCCAAGCATTGGTTTTTCTTTTTCTTTTTCTTTTTCTTTTTCTTTTATCCAATTATATCCACTAGTTTTTCACAATACTGTGTGTATTTTGCATGACACGCATGTTGAGGAATGTAGTTTATTTGAGAAGTGATATATATGATATTGAAACATAATTGAGTTTAAATGAAAGTGCTCGTGTAATTTCAATAAATATTTTACTATAATTTTGCTGTGAACATTTTGCGGCTTCAATCTCTGGTAGTACCTGCTGGTAATAAATGGGTTTTGGTTTCCTTAAAAAGCTGATCTATTGCATTCAAATATCATTTCTTGGGTGTTGGGGTTTATGGCTGGTTACAGGTCTTACAACCACACAATTCTGGCTTCTTATGTCTGAAGAGTTGAGATGGTCAGGCCACAGCACTCCAGTGTGACACGTATCGGTCTGGCCTATTCTACCATCAAACATTCAAGCCGCATAAAATTCGTTTATTAAGCATCTGGTGATACCACCTATGGTATTATTATAAAAAGGTAGTACAAAGTGCTGGATGGCTTGTTCTTGCTGGTTGAACCAAAAGCCTATATTTGTATTTTAGGTAATACGGTTTTTTGTTTGTTTTTTTTTTTTTTTTTTTTTTTTTTTGAAATAGGTAATACGAGTATATTAATTCTTGCTAGTTGCTACTATCAAAATAAAATAAAATAATTAAAAAAAAATATTCTGCTGTTGAAGGGTGGTTGTTCCTTGATTATTTTTTGGGGGATAATTAAAAGAAATGTTGGTCTGTAAATAAGCAGGTTTATTGATACCATATTCTTTGAATTAGGTGCAATCTTTACCTCTATCCTTCAAAGCAGCTTAATCCAAGGATTAAGCGCCCTTCAGAGGTGATGTTTATAGAGGGATCACAATTTATTCATTCTTTTAGTTTTCATACTAATTTTCCAACTTTTTCCTACCAACTTCTTCAACTAAAGACTTCCAAACATTCAATTACTTACATTGTGCGATCAACTATCCATCATCATGCTCATCTTGTTTCTTCTGCTATCCTTAGCTATTGCCTCTTTTTCTCCGGCGAAATGCCAAAGCTCCTTATCAAACCTGCAAAGTCTAGGCGAGTGGCAAGTCTTGCATGAAAACATCGGCATATCAGCCATGCACATGCAACTTTTGCGCAACAATAAGGTTGTAATGTTTGATAGAACTGATTTTGGCCCTTCTAATATCTCCCTCCCTTATGGACGGTGTCGCCATGACCCCTCTGACATTGTCCTTCAAATGGATTGCACAGCACACTCAGTGTTATACGATATTGCTACTAATTCCTACCGCCCATTGATGGTCAACACCGACACTTGGTGTTCTTCGGGCTCTGTCCTTCCCGATGGAACTTTGGTTCAAACTGGTGGATATAACGATGGTGATCGTGCGGTACGTACAATTACACCTTGTGGATCAGATGATTGTGATTGGAATGAATACCCTAGTTATTTATCGGAGCGCAGATGGTATGCAACAAATCAAATTTTGCCTGATGGTCGTGTTATAGTAATTGGTGGTAGAAGAGTTTTCAATTACGAGTTCTTTCCTAGGACGTCTAATACATTTTCATCTTCCTCGTCGACGTTTTGGCTTGATTTCCTTTTGGAGACTCATGATGATGAGGAAAACAACTTGTACCCTTTTGTGCACCTATTACCAAATGGTGATTTATTCATCTTTGCCAACACTCGCGCTATATCATTTGACTATATTCAAAATAAACTAGTTAAGGAGTTCCCTCCCATTCCCGATGGAAATCCTCGCAACTATCCTAGCTCGGGCTCTTCAGTACTCCTACCTATTGATGAGAATAAACCCGGTGAAGTTGAGATCATGATATGTGGTGGCTCACATCACGGGGCATTCACACAAGCAATGTCAAATAGGTCATTTGTACGCGCAAACAACAATTGTGCACGCTTAATAGTCACTGATGCGAACCCTAGTTGGAATATGGAGGACATGCCAATGGCGCGTGTTATGGGGGACATGTTACTACTTCCAACCGGTGATATCCTCCTTGTAAACGGCGCTGAATTAGGCACTGCTGGATGGGAGAATGCCGCAAATCCAGTCACTACTCCATTGATTTATCGTCCAAACAATGAAATTGAACATAGATTTTTCATCATGAGTCCATCACCAAGGCCTAGGATGTACCATTCCGCAGCCATTTTATTAACAGATGGACGAGTTTTAGTAGGAGGAAGCAACCCACATGTTTACTATAACTTCACCAATGTGGAATTTCCAACAGATTTAAGCATAGAAACATATTCACCACCTTATTTGTCAGCCGAACATGCACCTATGAGACCTAATATTATCTACGGTGATCAAGTAGTTGGCTACGAACAACCTTTTACAATCACATTCAATGTGCTACAATACCAATCCGACGATGTTGTGTCTGTTAACATTATTGCTCCATCGTTTACAACACACTCACTAGCTATGAATCAAAGGATGGTGGTTTTGAGAATGTTAAGGATTTCTCAAGTTTCATTAGGGATGTTTAATGTAGGAGTTATGGGACCTTCAACAAAAAATATTGCACCTCCTGGGTATTATTTGTTATATGTAGTTCATGCTGGTATACCAAGTTCTGGTATATGGGTAAAAATCCAATAAAGTTAGTGAAAACTCGTGTTAATGTACTTGCTATTTTTTTTTTATTTTTTTATTTTTGAAACTATTTAATGAAAATATTTGTTTCTTAGCTTTACGTCTTTGAATTCTCATTTTTCTCTCAAATATTGGTAAATGGACTATCATTTCCTATTTATTTTCATGTCAATTATGAAAATCAAATATAGTAATCCGTAATAACTTAATAAAAACCATTTCCTTTCTTTTCTATTCATGTCAAATCCTTTAACTCAAAAAGACCAATATTATTAACTTGATACGTACATTATATGATTTATATCAAATCACTCTTTTTAAAATAATTTTTAAATATTTTTTTCATCAAGCGTGTCATCAAAAAGCGATAAAATCCCATTTTTTTCTCAAATAAAGTTAATAAACTCACCTTCTTCACACTTTCTCTTCTCTCTCCTCTATCGCCAAAATCTAGTTAGCATTTCCACACTATATAACACAACACATTACACAAACAAACAAACTCATTCTTATTAGCGAAGTAAAAACTACATTAACACCAACATCACCAAAGAACGAACGAAGAATAGCAAAAATGAAGCACATTTTCAAGAAGCTTCACAAAAGTCATGACCTTAATCGTACTAACAATGAAACCCTAATTCCTCCTTCATCTTCATCTTCAACTTCATCTTCATCTTCATCTTCATCTTCTACTTCGCAATCTCAACCTCAACCTTCTACTTCTTCGTCGTCTTCGATGGCGGTGCAATCGCAGTCTGTAACCACCGATCAAGGCAATTCGCAGGTTTCCGGCGTCGGAAACTTGCCGCCGATGAAGAATGATCATCTTCGGCAAGGGGATTATTTTTCGTCTGAGGAGGAATTTCAGATGCAGCTTGCTTTGGCTATTAGTGCTTCGAATTCAGAGTTTCGAGATGATCCGGAGAATGATCAGATCCGTGCTGCTACTTTGTTGAGTTTGGGGAGGTCGAATTCTATTGATAATGGTCGAGATAAGGAGGATTCTGGTGAGGCTTTGTCGCGGCGGTTTTGGGTGAGTTTTTGAATTTGATTAATTAATTTGGGGATATTTTGATTGTGGAATTTGTTAATTGATGATGAAATGTAGGAACTTTCTGTTTTAATTTGTGTAATTTGTTGTTGGAATGCACTTTGTTTTGACCTTGTTGATGTTAATTAGTGTTATCATGTTGCTGCTGCTGCTGCTGAAATCGGGGGAAGTTAGTTTGAGTAGAATATCGAATTAATTGAATTTATCGGTCTATTCGAATATAGGAGTTAACTGGTGGAGTGATGGACCTTCTCATTAGCAAAGATTGCGGTACAGGAAGGAAATGCTAATAAGGGTTTGCTAAAATGACCTGGGGAGGATTATTAGTTTTGCCAATTTTTTTGTAATTGGCAAGCATTAGACTCTATTACATTTAGGAAGATAAATCTTCAATGCCTATTGTGACAGGATTAAGGGCTCAAACTAATTGCAATCAACCCACAACAATGAAGAACATGCAAGCACAACAACTAAGAACAACCATGAAGAAATTAAAGCAAGTAAAAGGGAGACAAAGTTACCGTGGGAAAACCCGAGAACCGGGAGAAAAAAACCCACCTTGCACTATGGAGTAGTATTGATGATGAATGAATCAAGATTACAAGCATGAATTGTATAGAATTCCAATGCTCCTCAAAAAAAACCTCTCATAAACCCTCTCTTAGTGTTTAAAGTTTGTGAATACTTGGGGAAGAAGCTAAGAAAAATATATATATAGATTAGGAGAATAAAGATGATCCAAGGGCTAGCAATTAAACAAGAAGCACGGGCTGAAATCGAGCCGTCGAAACAGAACAGCAGGGGGTTCGGCCGAACCTACCCTGTGTTCGGCCAAACTTGAGGTGGTTCGGTCGAACCCCCTTTGGTTCGGTCACTCCTCCAAATTTGCAAATTTTTCACAACTCTGCCCCAAGGTTCGACCGAACCTCAGAGATGCTAGAACTATGTTCGTTCGAACTTCCTTCAACAAGCTTCCTCTTTGATTCTTCCTTATGCCTCCATATATTGATGCATCTCCACACTAATCCTAACATATTGAATATTTTTCTTGGGACTATGATTGAGATGAGATGAGATGTTTAGTTTCAGTTGTAAACTATACCTTGGGTAGTAATTCGTTTTACGTCTAAAGTTGCTATTTGTATTCGTGGACCTAATGAACATAGTATTTCTAGTTTCAATTAATTTAGGGACGTTGGTTATCACATTGCTCCTTCATAACTAAGAACTTATGTATTTTGACCATAAACTCTTTGTGATACTTCACTCAAAACCTCCATGCTTCTTCATCCTCTATCCTCCTGCCCTTTGCCATCTTTGGTCATGCTAGTGAGTTGAAGAGGGGGTGCTTGAGAAATACTTTAGTAAATCACCTTAAAATTCAATGTATTATATTTTTTTGGGCACCTTATGATGGTAACATTGGTTTTTATGGAGGAGCTATATAGTTCCCATTGTCGGATTTATTCTAGTAAAAGGGTAAAGGTAAGTGTTTTGGGCTGGGTTGTAGGCAAATTTGAATCACCTTTTTTATTCAAGGAAATTCAAGCACATGAAGGAAGCCTATAAGTCTATAACTCTTGCTTAGTTGCTTGGATAGCAGTAGATATGATTATGTGCTTCTGATTAGTGCTTAATAGTGAGATTTTGTTTATTTACCCTATGATGACAATATATGCTGCTGTTTTTGGTGTGCTGAAATTGAAATTTTGCTTTACCAGGATTACAATGTACTTGATTATGAGGAGAAGGTGGTCGATGGTTTCTATGATATATTTGGTATATCAGTGGATCCAACAGTCCAAGGAAAGATGCCATCTCTTGTAGACCTTGAAACAAATGCTGGTGATTCCGGATTCGAAGCTGTGATAGTCAATAGAACAATTGATCCAACACTTGTGGAGTTGGAGCAAATTGCACATTGTTTTGCACTAGACTGCCCTGCATCCGAGATTGGCACTCTGGTTCAAAGGGTCGCTGAACTTGTGACAGAACACATGGGAGGACCGGTTAGGGATGCAGGAATTGTGTTAGCAAAGTGGATGGAGATCAGCACAGAACTAAGAACATCTCTTCATACAAGTGTTTTTCCCATTGGCTCTGTAAGGGTTGGCTTGTCACGCCATCGGGCTTTGCTCTTTAAGGTTAGTGAATGGATTACAAATTACTTCTTGATGTTGATTCAATGTGTTCTTTTGATTTTATTGCACCACGTTAGATTAACATGGGTGATCTATTTATTTAAACCTAGTACAATCGTCTTTGATGCAATAGACAGTAAACCTGTACATGAACTTATGCAAACCAAGGTAAAGGCAGTATCTCCCAAAATATAAGGACTAGACACAAAATATAAGGAGCCCTATTTCATAAACTTGATGTCAACTCAGTAAAGACATCCTTCCCTTTTGATGTTGAGTGCAGAGAAAGCAATGCTCCATCAGCATTTAATTGGGACGTATATATGTGTTTACTCAATTTAATTGCCTTGTACATGTCCTAACTTGTAGGTTTTAGCCGATAATGTGGGTATAAAATGTAGACTCGTGAAGGGAAGTCATTACACTGGCATTGAAGATGATGCGATCAACTTAATAAAGATGGCTGACGATAGGTAATTAGTATGCTGTTGATGCAATCATTTTTTTCCATATATAAAAATACTCCTACATATGCATTGTAAGCACATGATCTTCTTGGATTCTAATACTTTGATATGTTATTCTATGAACTTGCTGACTTCATTTAGTGACAAATTAAGCTTTCTAGCTCCATGACCTCCTTTCTCTTTTGAAAATAGCTGAAGAATATATATCGAGTGAAAGGGAATTATAAATTCAGTAATTTATCTGTATATATATTAGAGTTATGGTTCAAAAGCTTATTATTTGTCAGCTGTGCCCCCCCCCCCCCCCAAAAAAAAAAAAAAAAAAAAGAGAGAGAGAAAGGAAAGAAAAAGATTAAACATTTTTGCATTCAGTCTCGTTTTTAATCAAGGTCAAAGATTAATTGACAGAAATCTCAAGCTTCTTTAAATATTGAGCTTATAGCTCTTCAAGTAGCTGCATTTTTTTTTTACAAGTGCTCTTTACGTAGCTATGTAAGCTTACTATTCTCTCCATGGTTTATTTTTCCCACTTGCTTTTGCGTGGTCATCAAGAAAGAAGGGTTAATAGTGGGATCATTGGAATCACGTGGGTAGTTTATGTGAGGGATGGTAGAGGAAAGGAGCAGAAATTGAATTTGTATTGTAAGTTCTCTTAGAAAAGGCTCTTTAATTCCTAAAAGCATTTGTTTTGACTTGGACATTCTTTAATGTTAGTAGAACAGCATCTAGCCCCCCCCCCCCCTTTTTTTTTAAAAAAAAAACATATAATTACCTGATGGCAATGCATAGTAGCTCTTGTGTCTCCGCCTTTTCCCATTTAACTATCTGATAAATTACACAGGGAATATTTGGTTGATCTCATGGCAGCCCCAGGAACACTTATACCTGCTGATGTATTAAGTGGGAAGGATTCTTCTGTTCCAGTGTACAACCACAAACTAAATAAGATCCCCTCTGTCCAGCCATCAAATGACTCTGAATTTCCTTGTGCCAGACCGAAGCCCATTAATTCAGGATCAAGTGGGGGCTCTCCTGTTGACAATAATTTTCAATTTGGTCGGAATTCAGTCTTTGGAAAGACAGAATCATTACCTTTTTCATCAAGCACCAGCAATGACATGGGTGCTGGCCCTTCTAGAGCCTCCAGCCAACCAAACCCAAACAGTCAATTAGATTTGCCGTCAACATCAGCAGTGGGGGCGTCTTTGTTCAAACCACATCGTGGAGCCCTTGCAGTAGGTGATGGTTCTAGGATGAATGTTAATGTGGTACCCTATAATCAAGGTAATGCTGATGACTCTAGAAATCTTTTTGCGGAACTTAATCCATTCCATTTACGAGTTTCTGGGCAAGCTGCACCGCAAAACAAACCCAAATATGAAATTGATGAGTCCCAGAGATTTAGGAATGATGCTATCTCCAGAAAACCACCTTCTCCCATGATGTGGAAAAACCATCAGGCTGTGAACTATGTTCCCAGGAATAAAGACCGTGATTTAGTTGACAGTCTTCTTCCAAGAAGTAACCATGGAAACAAGGATTCCAGAATGGCACCAGCAACTACATTGAGCACATCAGCTGCTGAAATTTTTTATCAAAATGGCTCTCAGTTGGAGAGTTCAATTCTGAATGGTGTAAATGTCAATGTTGACAGTTCTGTTAATGTTGCTACAACTGCTGCACCTGGCAATGGT